GCTGTGAGGCTGGGGGCACTGGATCTCATCTGTCTTTCAGGGACTACAGTCAGGGGACTCATCCCGCTTATCTGGGGTCCTTGTGACTGGGGGATTGGCTGGCCCAGAGGCCATAAGGATTACCCCAGGCTCTCTGGGCTGCATTGATGACAAGAGTGATTCGACCAGATTTGTGCTTTAGAAAAAGCATTCGGTAGGTTGGTAGGCAGCCTCCTTCTGCCAGGAGATGAGGCGGGAGGCTACAGCAGTTGCCCACAGAAGCTTCTGTGCTGGCCCACTTAGGAGAGAGACCCAAGAAGCCAGCCTCACCTAACTTGTAGGCTAACCAGGAAAAAATATCCCTGAAGTCACTTCTTTAAAAAAATAATTAATTAATTAATTAGGCTGCGTTGGGTCTTTGTTGCTGTGTGTGGGCTTTCTCTAGTTGTGGCGAGCAGGGGCTACTCTTTGTTGCAGTGCGTGGGCTTCTCATTGCGGTGGCTTGTCTTGTCGGGGAGTACGGGCTCTAGGCACGTGGGCTTCAGTAGTTGTGGCTCGTGGGCTCTAAAGCACAGGCTCAGTAGTTGTGGAGCACGGGCTTAGTTGCTCTGTGGCATGTGGAATCTTCCCGGACCAGGGCTCGAACCTGTGTCCCCTGCGTTGGCCAGGGGATTCTTAACCACTGCACCACCAGGGGAAGCCCCCCGAAGTCACTTTTTCCCTCTCAGTGCACATGTACTTGAACTTTTTGCAACAGAGTAGGTTGCTATTGTCTCCACACAGGTCCTCCCATCAAAGTAAAAAAGACACACTAGGCACTTCCCTGGTGGTCCAGTGGTTAAGACTCCGCACTTCCAGTGCAAGGGGCACAGGTTTGACCCCTGGTTGGGGAAGTAAGATCCCACATGCAGAGCAGTGCGGCCAGAAGGAAGAAGAAAAAAAGAGACACTCCAAGGCCAGTTATGATTTACCACCACTGCAGCCCTGAGATTATTGTTCCTAAGCCATTGCAACCAGATGGGGAAGATATTCCTCCTGTTTTTTGTTCTTATCTTTATTTGTTAATTACCTGCAGGTCACTGCTGCAGAAGCAGGAGTTCTGGAATATTTGCCTTGGTTTTTGAATAAAAGATAACAACTTTAGAATTGGGGTTATTTATAAGACACTGAATCTCAATTAAACTATTTATTTATTTACATCGATTTCTGCACTCACCATTGGAGGGAGAGGCAGCATCGTTCGGGCCTGGGTTATCCCGCTGATCACAGTGGTTTTTAACTGTACAGTTTTCCATCCGTCTCCCCTCCTAGGCTGTGAGTTCCCAAAGGCCAGGGACTGCAACGTATTCATTTCAGCATCCCCGCGCCAGCACAGGGTCTGAAACAGACTAAACGTTCTGTGAATAAATAAATGATGTACCCTGGATGGATGAGGGCATGTCAGATGTCAGATGGAGGAGTAAATGGATGTGGATGGTGTTTTGATGAATGAGTGGGCAGTTGCTGGAGGGAGGCTGGAGGGAGGCTGGAGGGATGGCTCAGAGTGACAAGAACAGCCAGTGCTCCATATTCAGTGGAAAGAGAGATCCCTTTGGGCCAGTCAGGACGTCTTCCTAGGAACGGAGAAAATTGTGCTATGTTTTGAAAACCAAGGAGGACTTGGATATAAGGAAAGGGAAATGATGGTGGATCCTCAACTGTTATTTCAGCTGCTTGGGGGCAGGAACTGGCTGGGAATAAAGAATTGAGCCAGATCCTAGCAGCCTTCAAAGCCCAACTAAGAAGCTTTGACTGTTAGGTCTCCTACTAATTAACCACCATATATTAAGTCTAATTATTAGTTTATGTGATGTCTCCATATCCTCACAACAACTTCTTAGGGGAGGGATTATCTTCCCCATTTATAGTTAAAGAAATAGGCTTAGAGAGGGAAAGTAATTTGCCCTAAGTCACACAGCAGAACTGCAGTTTGAACTTGAGTTTTAGTGACTCCAGTGCTGCTCACTTTATCAATGAGGTCCCTGAGAACACAGGAGTTTTGAGCTAGGGCCAGAGTGGGGGTAGGGGTGATGTCAGGTTTAGGTAGTTGTATCCAGGCAGGGTGTCTCCCCAACTACACTATGAGCCTGGGCAACTCTGTCTCACCCTCCTTGCCAGGACCCTGTGCCAGCTGAATCGAGAGCATCCAGCTGGACCGCAAACCACCAGGACTCCCTAAGGCCTAACAGAGTCAGGGTAGAAAGGAGAAGAGAAGTGGGGCAGGAGCTTTGGGGAGGGGAAGCAGCCTGGGGAGTTTCTCCCCCAAGGTTGGCGGGCCACTGGATTCAAAACCAGAAGGGCCCTTAGAGGTCATTTAGTCTGGCAGCCTCTATGTAAGAGGATCTCAAGACCCACAGAGAAGGTAGCCTGCCCAAGTAAGCCAGGAATCAGTGTCAGACTCTCAACCAGAAACCACATGTCTTAACTCCCGAGCCAGTGCCAACTGGGAAAGGTGGTGTGTTGGTGCCAAGGTGGGACAGGAGGCAGACAAAGGTAGAATGGCTGTCTGGCTCTGCCACCAACCTGCTGTGTGACCTTGGGCAAGTCACTTCCCTTCTCTGAGCCTCGTGGTTTCTTTCTTCTGAGTTAATGATCTCAGCAGTGCCTTTCTGCCAAGAAGTATCCAGTGAGAGATGAGCTTGGAAGGCTGTTTACAATCTGCAGAGCTCTGGGAGGGGAGTCACCAGCAAGAGGCAGGCTGGTGCCAGGTGGGTGGGTGCCAGGGTTGGGCCTGCAGCTTCCTGGGTCTCTGCCCAAGCTTTGCCATCTGTGTGGTACCATCAGCTCCATCTCCTCTTGCCTCCCTGCCAGGAAAAAGCCTTCTGGGATCTTCTTACTTTATCAGGATCTTCTTTCTTCCTCCCTAGGCAGACCCTCTTCTCTCTCCTTCTATGTAGTCAGGACTCTTGGGTGCAAGTGACAGAATCAGAAGTACAAGGAGGGAGAATTTGTTTAGGCATGGCTAGATCCTCAGACCTAAAACGATGTCTCCCAGACACTCCCCTTGTTTGTTCACTCTTCCTTCCTCACTCTCTTTCCTTTAGCTTTGGCTTCCTCCTCAAGCCGGCTGTCCCCCAAGTGGTGGCAAAGACAGCCACCAACAGCTCTTAGCTGACACTATGCCCATCCAGGTATCTTGGCAGGTGGCATCTCTGTCCTGATGCCCCAGCAAGTATCCAGGATAACTCTCAGGGCGCAGGCTGAGTGCCCATCCCTGGACAGATCACTGTGTGTTGCCTATTTGCTTAGACTTGGGTCACTAGCCCACTGCAGAAATTAGAAGTGGGGGGACTTCCCTGGTGGCGCAGTGGTTAGGAATCCGCCTGCCAATGCAGGGGACACGGGTTCAAGCCCTGGTCCAGGAAGATCCCACATGCCGTGGAGCAACTAAGCCCGTGTGCCACAACTACCGAGCCTGCACTCTAGAGCCCATGAGCCCCAACAACTGAGCCCGCATACCACAACTACTGAAGCTCACGTGCCTAGAGCCTGTGCTCTGCAACAAGCGAAACCACTGCAATGAGAAGCCCGCGTACCGCAACAAAGGGTAGCCCCCACTCGCCGCAACTAGAGAAAGCCTGCACACAGGAACGAAGACCCAACACAAAAATAAATAAATAAAATAAATAAATTTATTTAAAAAAAAAAAGAAATTAGAAGTGGGCTCAGCCCCACCCAAGCCACATGGACTGAGGGTCTGGGAGGCAGTTTCCAAAACAAAGAGATAAGTTCTGTCAACAGAAGAAGAAATATGGGACAGTCAATAACAACTGGTATCCTTGGTACCTTTGTTCCTAAATGTATCAGCTGAAAGGTTGAACCAGGGGCTTCTGGAAAGGGAGTGTTGATTGAGTCCTATATCAGTTACCTTTTGCTGCGTAACAAATCCCTCCAAAATGTAGTGGTTTTTAAAACAGCCATTTTAGGGAATTCCCCGGTGGTCCAGTGGTTAGGACTCAGCACTCTCACTGCCATGGTCCTGGGTTCGATCCCTGGTCAGGGAACTAAGATCGTGAAAGCCGCGTGGCACAGCCAAAAATTGAAGAAAAATAATAATAAAAAATAAAACAACCATTTTATTTAGCTCACGATTCTGTGGGTCAGCTGGGAGATTTTTTGGTCTGGCGACCTGTTGGCTAGCATCTGAATGATCTAGGATGGCCTCACTCGTGTGTGTTGATGGTTGACTGTCTGTCAGCTGGGGTGCCTTGGTTCTTTTCCCTGTGGCCTCTCTTCCTCCAGCAGGTCGGCTTGAGCTCTTTCACAAGGTGTTCTCTGTGTTACAAGTATAACAAGTGGGCAAGCTCCAATGCACCGGCGTTTTTCAAGCCTTCACTTGCTTCCTCTTTGCTAAAGTCCCCTTGAACAAAGCAAGTCACATGACCAAGCACAAAATTAGTGTGGGAGGGCACTGCTAAAGAGCATGGAAGTAGGAAGAGAAAGAATTTGAGGCCAATTGTGCAACGTACTACAGCTCCCTCAGGGACAGGGAGTGAAAAAAATCCCTTTTCTTTGTAGCCCATGGATCCCATGGACCAGGGCAACCTCCAGATAGGGGTCGTTGGAAGAACGTGACCGAGCCCCCGGGCTTCCCCGGGGTCTCCAGGGCCCTGGCTCAGCCCTAGGCCAGAGCTAGGGGCAGGCAGTCTGGATCCTGACCACGGGCAGAGACCCGCCCCCCAGGTGCCAATGGGGAAGCTTCTTGGCAGGGAGGAAGGCGTTCTGAACCCCGGCTCCCGTCTCCCTTTCGCCCACCCCAAACTGATGAACAGGGCTCTGTCCCGCTCATCCTCACCGACCTGTCCTCACCTCCCAGCATCCCTTTGGTACTGCGGGGCTGGGATGGCGCTGAGACTTGTGTATAATCAGGTCATGGTTCCTCATCACCATGGTAACTGGTGTCACCTGCTCCACAGGGTTGAAAAGGAGTACCTGTCCTTTTTTAGGTGGTGACTGTGGCCTCAGCCTGCTCTTTCCCACAGGTGGCTGCGTTGGAGCGGCAGATCTTTGACTTCCTGGGCTACCAGTGGGCTCCTATCCTAGCCAACTTCCTGCACATCATGGCAGTTATCCTGGGCATCTTTGGTACCGTGCAGTACCGCTCCCGGTACCTCATTCTGGTATGGCTCACTTGGCCTCTCCACAAGCCAACCCCCTCTTCTCATCCCCATCCGTTCCCACCTTGTTCTCCAGCCAAAGCTGCCCTCCACCCTGGGCACCTAGACCCCTGCCTCTGGCTGGGCTCCAGCCCAGCTGGTGATGTGGATGTTCAAATCCCAATGCTTCTTTGCTCAGTGGAGACAAAATTAGTATTTTTCCTAAAGAATTTTCTACAGAAAATTCCACATATTAACAAGGTATATCATTTAGTGAGTGCCTACCATATTCCAGGCACGTGCTAAGAGTTTCACATGCTTTACTTATCTTTACGACAGCCCTTCGAAGTATATCTTATCTCCATTTTCCAGATGCGGAAATGAGGCTCAGAAAGGTGACAAGGCTTCCTAAAGTCACACAGCTAATAAGTGGCAGGGTTAGAGCATCCTGTCCAGAGCGAAGGCTCCTGCCGCATCACCACGCTGCCCAGTAAGCCCGTGCGAGGGATGGACTTTGTCTTGTTTGGTTTCTCAAGTTGCTTCAGGAAGGCTTGGCTTCTGTCCCTTGATGTTCATCAAAAATGTGGTCTAGTGTGGCTAGTGTGGCCTTGAGGCCAGTGCCTCCCGTGCCCCAATCCCAGGAGTGCATTATGTCCCTGGCTCCTTCCTCCTACTTCCTCTTTCCAAGCTCTGGTCCTTGATTATCAAACTCCTGTTTTCAACTAGTCTCATCCTTGTCCCTTGCTCTTCCTCAGTGACTCATTTATACACCTCTCTTGAGGGAAAAGGCTTTCCAATAGATTTACGACAGAAATGCTTGACACCCAAAGTAACAATGCCGTGTAATGTCATGCCCCACCCCCAGAGCCCACTCACGCTCATTCTAGGGCTTCTCCACACCTCCCACAGGCTCAGTTCCAGAAGCCAGGTGAACAGGGCCCTTCCGAAGCTCTCCCTCACCTGAGATAAGAGGACCCTTCTCTCCAGTTCTCAGGAAAGCTCCCGGCACCACTGTAAATGGCACTGTCTGCCAGGCGGCTGCCGCTGGTTTAGGCATAGGATTTGGGTGGAAATATCCAGCTCCTCTCTAGTTCTTTGCCATGGGTAGGATGCCGTCTGGTGTCTGTGGTTCTCTGCAGAGTGGATAGGATGAGCTACCAGAGGACTTAGGTTTGCATGCCAGCCCTACCTCTTCCTAGCTGTGTGATCTTGGAAAATGTCAACCTCTCTGAGCCTTAACTTAGTTATCTTTAAAGAGAAAGACAGCGCCTTCCCTGCAGGGCTCTGGTAAGGACTGGATGGTTGTAAAATGATGTGTAAACTATATTGCTTTCTGAGTGAGGCATTGTCATAGTTTCCCCTGCAAAGGTCTCCTCCGTCCATTGACCCGCCCCATCCCCACTCCTCCAGGCCCCACCCTGATCCCACCTCTGCTTTCCCCAGTATGCAGCCTGGCTGGTGCTTTGGGTTGGCTGGAATGCGTTTATCATCTGTTTCTACTTGGAGGTTGGACAGCTGTCCCAGGTAAGCCTCAGGCCTGGCAGTGCCAGAGAGCAGAGACTGACCTTCCCCATCCCCTGCCCCAAGGGCTCCTGTGGTGTGGGTCTCAGGGAGAGACCGCCCTCTACACATTCGAGTAATCTGTGCTCCCTGTCCCCCACCCCTACGTTTTCATTTCTGGCATCCTCCGTACTTCTTAAAAACAAATGATGGGGAATTCCCTCGCGGTCCAGAGGGTGGCTTACCCTCTCTGAGCTTCAATTTCGTCATCTAGTAAGTATAGTTAATAGAAACCCCAATTTCATGTGGTTGCTGAGGGGATGAAAGGAGATCGAACATCTCAGTGCTTGGCACCAAGTCAGCATGCAGTGAATATTTCACAGTTAACAGACTGCCTGAGTGAATGGACTGAGGAAAACAGATGCACACGTGGGTAAGAACTTCTGATGTAGGCCAGCCCCTTCTCCATTTCAAAAGGGGAGACCAAGGTCTAAAGAGGTTTGCCCAGGGTCACACACAGGGAGCAGTGGAGAGGCTGAATGGGCTGTGAAGGGGTCTGTATTGAGGATTTCACCAACAGCTGGATAATTGGACCCGATCACCATTAATGTCCCTTCCAGCCCTGAAATTCTGAGACTCCTGTGGGTTTGAACCAGCCCCTTCCATCTCTGATAGAGGGGTGAGGCCTGCATGGTCATCAAGCGCCACCTACTGGCCAAATATAGACTTGCAGATACAGACTTTCTCCATACCTTTCGCAAATCAAGCCAGGAAAGGAAGCTGTTACAACCCAGGTGTGAAGCCGACCTTATATAAAGTCTTCTGGAGGGAATTCCCTGGCGGTCCAGTGGTTAGGACTCGGCACTTTCACTGCCGGGGCCCGGGTTCGATCCCTGGTCAGGGAACTAGGATCCCACAAGAAGTGCGGTGCTGCCAAAAAAAAAAAAAAAAAAAAGAAGTCTCCTGGAGCCTGGGGAGGATTTCTGCCCCTCCCCCCCCCAACCGCCTCCGGCCCAAGCTCAGTATCCTAGGCCCCTCTGCCCCTAGGACCGGGACTTCATCATGACCTTCAACACATCCCTGCACCGCTCCTGGTGGATGGAGAACGGTCCAGGCTGCCTGGTGACACCTGTCCTGAACTCCCGCCTGGCCCTGGAGGACCACCATGTCATCTCGGTCACCGGCTGCCTGCTTGACTATCCCTACATTGAAGCACTCAGCAGTGCCCTGCAGATCTTCCTGGCTGTGAGTTCTCCTGTCCCCCTGCCTGTCCCAGCCCTGCCCTAGGCACTTTACACACACAGTTACATGATCCTCTTTCCTCTTAACAAGCCAGTAAGGTATTGCCCAGGTCCAACTGGGGAAACTGAGGCTCAAAGAGGTAAAATAATTACTTGTCCAAAATCATACTCCCAGAATGAAGAATAGAACCAGGTATATTAAGTTTAAGGCGCAGTCATTTGACTTGGAGTTGTTATGGGTTTGCCTTCCTCTTAGCACACATGGCCCCCCCAGCGGGGGTGGGCAGGGCCAGGCAGGGGGTGAAGGAAGAGCTTCCCTCTCCTCCCTCCCTCCCTCCCTGACGCGCTGTGTCCTCCCCCAGCTGTTCGGCTTCGTGTTCGCCTGCTACGTGAGCAAAGTATTCCTGGAGGAGGAGGACAGCTGTGAGTGCGGAGCCCCTAGGGAACTGGGGAAACCCGGCCGCGTGCCACCCCACGCAGTCAGCACCCTGGACAGGGGCCAGAGCAGGAGGGAGCCCTGGGTTATTTAAGGCAGCGGTCCCCAACCTTTCTGGCTCCAGGGACCGGTTTCATGGAAGACAATTTTTTCCGTGGACGGGGGGTGGGGGGGTGCTTTCAGGATGATTCAAGTGCATTGATTTATTATGCCCTCCGTGCAGTCAAACCTCTCTGCTAATGATAATCTGTATTTGCAGCCGCTCCCCAGCACTAGCATCACGGCCTCAGCTCCACCTCAGATCATCAGGCATTAGATTCTCATAAGAAGCGTGCAACCTAGATCCCTCACATGCGCAGTTCACAGTAGGGCTCATGCTCCTATGAGAATCTAATGCCACCGCTGATCTGACAGGAGGCGGAGCTCAGGCGGTAATGGGAGCAATGGGGAGCGGCTGTAAATACAGATGAAGCTTCGCTTGCTTGCCTGCCGCTCACCTGCTGTGCGGCCCAGTTCCTAACACCAGTACCGGTCTGTGGCCTGGGGGTTGGGGATCCCTGATTTAAGGGGCCCCTCTGGGGGCTGGGGAAGAAGAGGCAGCAGGGTGAGTGGGGATGGCATAGCCAGCCCATTCTGGGCTGAGGCCCAGACGTCCAGGTGCCCAATCCAAGGCTCCAGCACTGCCCCCCTACCTGCCCCTCTTAGGCCCCTTCCTGTCGCTCTGAGGGGCTCCACAGCCCCACTCCTGTCAAGCACCGCCCATTCCCAGTTCGTCCCACTCCCACCCCCAACAGGTCTTGCCTCCCCGCACCCTTCTCCCTTAAAGGGCCACCCTCCCCATCCACCCCCCAGCTCTCTATCCTCTTGGGCCTTGGCCCATCCATCAGGACACTGGAACAAAGCCCAACCCCTAAGGCCCTGTACAGGGTCTGGCCTCAGATTCCTCCCTTTCAGGACCCAGCCTCCCATAACTTGCCCCCTTCACAGGCCCATCTCTAACCACGTGCCATCTGCCCTTCCGCAGTTGATTTCATCGGCGGTTTTGACTCCTATGGATACCAGGCGCCTCAGAAGACGTCGCATTTACAACTGCAGCCTCTGTACACGTGGGTCATGGCGCGGAGCAGGGTGGGGTGGAGGGACCCCGGCGCGGGCGTTAGTGTAGGAGAAAGAAGGGGAGGGAGGAGCGGAGAGGGCAGCCGGATCTCTCCGCCTCCCTACTTAGGGGTCCACTTCCCTAACCGGCCTTTGTTTCCTGCAGGGCGGGGTAGTAGCTTCTGCCCCAGGACCACCCCCGCGGCGGCTAGACTGACCGCCGCAGCCGCGAGCTCTGGCCAAGATGGCAGGCGTGCCCCCTGGCGGCTCGCTGACCGGACTGCAGCCTGGGTCGTCTTGACATGGGTCCGAAGCGGACATGGACTTGGCGCTTAGCCGCCTGGACTTAAGGGGTGGGGCGGGGGAGGGGGTTCGCGGGGTTTGTATTTTTTTATCTCCACCTTGGCGTGTGCCGGAGCCTCCCGCCCTTCTCCAGCCTCTCCCTTTCACCCTTCTTCACCCAGCATCCTGTCCCCCGTCCAGAGAGAAAGGACAGGACAGACAGACTCACCCCCATCTCACCACATTCATTCACCAGCCCTGGGGAAAGTTACCCTGAACTTCTTACCAGCAGGAGTTCTGGGTTCTAATCGCAGCTCCATCACTAACTCTCTATGTGACATCTGGCAAAGCCCTTGCCCTCTCTGGGCCTCAGTTTCCGACCTCAAATAATTAAAATAATCCCTTTGTAAATGGAGCTCTTTCTAGCCTTTTCATTTGACTCTCAATTCCCTGGACTATACTGGGATTTTACATAATCCCCATTTTGCAGATATGGAAACTGAGGCCCAGAGATGTAAAGCAATTTGCTTGAGGCCACACAGCTGGGCTTTTGGTGGCGGCAGGCCTTGAATATGATCTGTAGTTTCAGACTCCAAAACCCATTTCCAAGCCCCCTTCCAGCTTGGACACTCTAGAACCCATGTGATATACACCACACTCACATACCACCACCACCACTTGCTAACTCCTCTCTTAAAGCAATATATTCGTTCTCTTGTTGGGAACAGGATGGACGGATCCCAGAGCCCTGAATTCAGCCTGACCCACAGGGAAGCCTTCTTAGACTCGGCCTCTGTCCACCCTTGGCAAAGCTTTCAAGCTCTCTCTAGCAAAGGGGGGACACGACTCAGTCGCCCCACCCCCTTCCACATCCCTGAGCCTGCTGCACCCATGATCCCCCACCCCTTCAGCAACTCTGCCAACCACTGGTGGCTCTATCCACCTCACCAGTTGGAAGACCTGTGGTTCCGGAGTGGAAAAGGGCTCATCTGTGCTGCCTGGTCAACAGTGTTCAAAGATCACCAGTGTTGATGATCACGCCGGTGTGCAGAAGCAACCTCTAACAAATCCAGAAGTTGTTCTGAAGAGGCAGGGTGGGGGTCATAGTGGGTGGTCTGGAGGGCCAGCACCCTTCCTTAAGAGCAAGTAGAGATGAGGGCCCATTCTCCTCGCCTCCCTCCACAGACCCTTCTGAGGACCCTGCATCCTGTGCGCTGGCTGGTGAATCTCAGGGCAGGAGGATCAGGCCTCAGCTTCCAGTTTGTGAAGTAGGAGTGGTCCTGGCTTAGGAAGGAGGGTGGGAGGCACGGGGGAACCCGATGGAAATACAGACGGTTGCACACCTGAGCCCATCCATGTGGACCATTCCTTGCTCTCCACCCTCTGATCTAGCATTCCCTCCCATCTAAGGCCAAAATATCCTGAACTTGGACCCCACCCCACCATTCCATCTGCAGGTCTGTGCCAAAGAGCCTAACCCAGGAGTCCCTCTGGTCACTACAGGGCCCAAGGTCCCAAATGGTGAGCCTGGTTAGCTATGGGTACAGCTCAGGAGGGCAACAGTTCCCTTCAGGCCTGGCTGCTGGTCTGCTCCTGGACCAAGTCCTGCCTCCAGCCCTCTCTTCTCAGAGCCACCCCCAGCCAGCTGTCATCTCACCCCCAAGCCCCTTTCTACTCAACGACTTGAGCCACTGGTGCTTTGAAGCCTTTTGTTTTTGTAAGATGGTTTTTTCAAGGAGACTGTTTTCTTCTCACTGGGACCTTGCAAGGCAGGGAGTGTTGCCCTGGTTTCTGTGCAGGTGGGTTGATTAAAGATGGTGTTTTCCGACTTCCCTGGTGGCGCAGTGGTTAAGAATCTGCCTGCCAATGCAGGGGACAGGGGTTTGAGCCCTGGTCCGGGAAGATCCCACATGCCACGGAGCAACTAAGCCCGTGTGCCACAACTACCGAGCCTGCACTCTAGAGCCCGTGAGCCACAACTACGGAGCCCACGTGCCACAACTACTGCAGCCCTCGTGCCTAGAGCCTGTGCTCTGCAACAAAGAGAAGCCACCACAATGAGAAGCCCACGCACCGCAACAAAGAGTAGCCCTCGCTGCAACTAGAGAAAGCCCGTGCACAGCAACAAAGACCCAACACAGCCAAAAAATAAATAAATTAATTAAAAAAAAAAAAAAGATGGTGTTTTCTTCTCTTTCTGTCCTCCTGCCCTGTGAGTCGGCAGGGTCTTCTAAGGGAGAAGTCTTTGCATGGAGGGTGGGCAGAGGTTGGGAATCTGTCATTGTCATTATCAGACATTGCTGGGGCACTGGCCTGTCCCTCTGGCTGGCTGTGTAGCTTTGGGCAAGTCACACTCCCTCTCTTTCCTCATCCATAAAATGCAGAGAAGGGATTAAATCAGTGGGTTCCCAAACCTGGCTTTGCAATCCCTTGGAGAGCTTTCTATTTTCCGATTAAGTACCTTTTAAGGTTATGCTTTCTAATATCCTTTGCATCCTGGCTCTGTCCTCTTCCTAAAAATTCAGTCCCTGACTTGGAATAAGCTGGCAGACAGTACTTTAGACACAGATTCCTGCATCCCAACTGGGACATCCTGGCTCCTTTTCTGACTGTACAAGAAGAATCAGTATTTTGAATTTTAAAATTTTACTTTTGTGTGTGAATAGGTAATAAGTATATGTGGTACAGGATTCAGAAAGTTCCAGGGGGCTATGTACTCTTACTTATTTTTCATATCTTTCCGAAGATAGTCAAAAATTTTTTAATTATATAATTTTTTTCCCCTTTTTCACACAAATGGTAACATATTTTACTCACTCTTCAACTCCCTGCTTCTTTCACCTAACCCTGAATCTTGGAAATCTTCTCCCCATAACACATGTGGCGCTACCTCCCATTCTTCCACAATGATTTGGTAGAATTGAGATTTTTAAGATCCCCAGGTGACCTTGATGCAGTTAGGGGCCAAGAGCCAGAGGTTCTACATAAGGATGCCCAGGTCCGCTATTCAAACCTCTGTGGACCATTCCTGGTCGTGGAGTCAGAGGGAAATAAGGAGTTTATGGTCTAGTGGGGAGCCCAGGGGGTGAGCAGGCAGAAGTTGACGCTGATAGCAGGTGGTCGATGCTGAGGACAGCTTAGCGTGAAGGGTGGTTAATAGGAGCTCGGGAGAGAGGTGATCTGAACATCCTGGATGGACCAACAGCATGAACAGAGGTGTGGAGGGAGGAAAACCCGTAGTGTCTGGGGTAAAAACGGCCAGAGACGAACTAGCTGGAGGGAGCCTCAGTGGGGAATGTATTCGTTTTCTATCGCTGTCATAAGTTATCACAACTTTAGTCTCTTAAAGCAGTATAGATTTGTTATCTTACAGTTCAGTAGAAGTCCAACATGGGTCTCACTGGGGTAAAATCAAGATGTCTGGAGGGTTGCACTTCTTTCTGGAGTCTCTAGGGGAGAATCCGTTTCCTTTTCTAGCTTCTAGAGGTTATGTGCATTTCTTGGCTCGTGGCCCCTTTCCTCCATCTTCAAAGTTAGCAACATCACAGCCCTCTGACCTTTTTGATTTTTCCCTGGCCGTGCAGCATGTGGGATCCTAGTTCCCTGACCAGGGATCGAACCCACGCCCCCTTGCAGTGGAAGCGTGGAGTCTTAACCATTGGACCACTAGGGAAGTCCCAACCTCTGACCCTTTTTCCATCACATCTCTCTAACCACAGCCAGGAAACGTTCTCCACTTATAAGGATTCGTGTCATTGGATTGGGCCCACTCGAATAATCCAGGATAATTTCTTCCTCTCAAAGTCCTTAATTCCATCTGCAAAAAGTCCCTTTTGCCATGTAATGCATTCACAGGTTCCAGGAATTAGAATGTGAACCTCTTTGCGGGGCCATTATTCTGCCTTCCCAGGGAAGGAGTCGTATCCAGAAGCCCTGAATGTCAAACCAGAGTGCATCGGCCTGGTGTGATGGCAGGGGGAACTATTGAAGGATTTTGAGCAGAAGCTACTCAATTAGAACTGTTCTGTAGAGAGAACTGGCAGGGCTGGAAGGGTGGGTTGGAGAAAGGAAGCAGGAAGCAGTGTTTTGTCTGGAAGAGGCCTAGGGTTTCTTACTTCCCTGTGTAAATGTATGTATGTTCTTGTGGGTATGTGTGTAAACTTGGGAGGTAAATGTCAGCATGAACTTCAGGTGTCAGACATCCCTGGGTCCCCGTTCATCACTCTGGAACCAGTCAAGCTGGCCTTCCCACAAAGCCCCGTGGGGCTCCTGCCATCCTGGGGCCATCTCCCGGCAACCTCTGCACGTTCGAATAATCCAGGTAGGACATACCTTCCAATAACTGCTGGGTCATAACGGTGCCCAAGTCATTCTTTTTTTTTTTTTTTTTTTTTTTTTTGATGTGGACCACTTTTAAAGTCTTTATTGAATTTGTTACAATATTGGTCTGTTATATGTTTTTGTTTTTTTGGCCCCAAGGCACGTGGGATCTTAGCTCCTGACTAGGGATCGAACCCACACCCCCTGCATTGGAAGGCGAAGTCTTAACCACTGGACCGCCAAGGAAGTCCCCCCAAGCCATTCTTTGAAGCACTAGAATACAAATTCCCCAAGGTGCATTTGACAAGCATAAGAGTCTCCTGGGATTTGTAGACAGACTAGTGTTTGCTTGAATGCGTTGGAATTGGGTCTTGCTGTTTCTAAACAGACTATAGGCATGAGGGAGACACCAAGCAAGACCTTATTGCCTTATAAGATTCAGTACTCCACAGGCATGGCCCTGGACAGGGTTTCTCAAACTTGCAGAGCATAAGCATCTCTTAAAAATCCAAATTCCTGAGTCTGATCTGAGCCACACTGAACCCAACATCTGGGCAGTGAAAGGAACTTGTGTTTTTCACTAGTGCCCCAGGAGATCCAGGTTTGGGAAATCCTAGACCCAGGTAAAGAGGCATTCAAACATTTTTGAAACTTCCTCTCCTCCAGTGTCATGGAAGGCGTACCAAATTATGCCTGCCAGCTCCCTCACATCAGAACTCGACTCTAAGACTCTCTCCCCCAAGTTTAATTGCATTTGT